AACATGAGCGCTTCTAATGACAGTTCAGAAATTTCGAAAAGGTTTAAGATTTTTTTGTTAAAAAGTTAGGAATATAGAATTATCAAAATCGTGCATCTAAAACTTGACCCTGCGGCGAGCCATGTGAATTATTGAAAATTTCTATAGATATATATCGAATCAAATGTAGTAAAAACATTGTCGAAGTTTTTGAAAAAAAAATTAAGTCGCTAACTTTAACGGTTATAGAAATATGAATTTTTATCCGGGAGGTTTAATTGCGCTCTGATGCTGAAAGCGGCTAGCGGCTACCATTCAGGAAATCATCTGCGTTAGTGCGTTAGCGTTACATCTAGAAATAAAATAAAAAAATCTATAAACATAAGTAATTGATTAAATCCTTTTTTATGAAGTTAGTTTAAATATTTTCTCCTTCGTCATCCTCATATAAATCAGGAATATTATTTTGACAACTTTTGCAGGAACAATCGCTGCAGCATGTTGAACCCTCTTTCAAGCAGACACATTTATTATTTTAACATAATTTATCTTCGCAGAAGACATTCATTAGTTGCCTTATATCCATTGGTATGGGATCAGCAGTCATCAAAACAGGCTCAAAAATTCCATTATTCCTAGTCTAAACAAAGTTAACAGGGTAAAGTATAGGCATAATAGGTATATGACTGGATATCCATATACGCAGTTGATATATGCACCTGAAATTTTGTTTATCGCATAAATACAGCTTCTTTTGTTATATATACACCTAGCTCAGTACATGCTGGTAAAATGCGTCATCTGTGGGTAGAAGTTCAGAAGCGGATTTATTGGAAGTTGTGATCAATTGATATCTCAATTCATCGAGGGTTTTTAGGGCCTCGTTCTTATTTCTGAATAGGGCCAATGTAAATTTGGTGGCAATATAAGGTTCCAAGATTTTTAGAAAATACATTTTTTGCCTTTGCATTTGTGGTATCGCATCCTGTTGACACATGCAACGCTGGTAAACATTTATAAACTTCATATTCCAGTTTCTGCACTATTTATTGGAATTATCCGTTTTTTATTCCCTTGAATTTAAAAAGGTAGGTTTCTTTCAAAGAACTTACTTCAATAAATTCACAATAGTGGTAAATAAGTAATATCAGAACATTTGCATCTGCAGACTTCACCAACACTTTTTTTTTGGTGAAGTATCTGATATTCATATAAGACGTGGAATATAATAAGTCGTGCATCAGTATCATCATGATTCGATTTCAAATTTTTCAATTCGGTTACACGGTTACACCATTCTTGTTGACAGAAAAGCATAACTCTGGATTTTCAAAATCACCAGCGATGATCAGAGTTTTTTCTATTTGTCAGCTAAATGTTCCAAAATATAACCAGTTACAAATTTCAATAGGGATTCTTCATTTTCTGACAATTTAAAAAAATTCCGAAACTTCATCACTTTTCTCTTTCCAGAAACTTCATACGCATACGTATCTGCGAAGTTACTTCTTCTGCGTCTGTCCAAAGACTTGACCGATTCATCTATTAAAAACCACTGTTATCATCAGTGCTTCATACCTTCGACCAAGTGAAAGAATTTGCTTCAGAAAAATACATGCGAGTTCATTAAAAGTTAAGTTGAAAATGCTTTATAATTTAGTCCTTGAATAAGTACCATGCCATCTATTATAAGTGAATTGAAGGGGACGGAGACGTGAAGAGAAGTTTCAGTGCGAAAAAATCTAAGAACAAATATTTGAACCGCATCTTGCTACGATGAAACGTTTTCGAGTATAAGGGTGGTTCAAAGTGACAAACGCCTAGGATGTGACGTCACACTGGCTTCGGAGACACAGTTAAAATATGTGTAAAATTTTCCAAGACGATCTCACTTAAAGCAAATTGCAACCACTTAAAGTATAGGGCACGGTTCAACCACTGAACAAACAGAAGGCTATGATTTCGGCGGTTAGCCGGTGTGACGTCACAAGTTCCCGCAAAATTTATTTTCATGAAGAATTTTCTCGGATAGTATGTTGAATGAAAGACTGCAGTTTCCACGGGAGATCTTAGATTTTTTTTCTTGATTTGAAATGAAATGAAATGAAATGAAAAAAAATATATTTTTTTTTTTTTTTTTTTTTTTTTTGTATTTGATTTAAGTAGCTTAAGTTGCTTTTTTTGGTCACACCTACTTTAACATCAGTTCGAGGTGAAGCAACTGTTGAATATGGTTCAAACTTTGATACTAAATCAGACTTAGCTGTTTTTCGCAAACGAACCCACAAAACTGGAAAAGTCAAAAAATGCACCTCTCGGTGAATGCACGAACAATTTCGTCGCGACGCGATTCAAGATGGGCTGAACGCGCTCCAGGGCTCTTGGATAAAAAATTATATTTCTATAACCGTTGAAGCTAGCGCCTTAATTTTTTTTTTAAAAACTTCGTCAATGTTTTTACTACATTTGATTCGATATACAGGGTTAGTAAAAAGTACTGCAACACTTAAATATCTTCAAAACTGCTTCAGCCGCGTTCACACAATTTGGAATCTGACAGTTTTCAGGCATGCGGAATTCAACAGTGCTATTGGCAATGTTGCCAGATTTCCCAGTTTTGCGCTACATGTAGTCTTTTTGTTATCTTAAATAGAATGCCCCATTTATTTTTATTGCAATGAATTGGGCGTGCCAAATTTGATAAGACTTCAAATTTTCAGAATTCTATCTCTACTAGTTGTTGAAATATGACAACACCGTATTTTCGGTGAAAAGTATCGCAACGCTTGAATATCTTCAAACGCTGCTTAAGCACGTTCACAAAATTTGGCATCTGGGGGTTTTTGAGCAAGTGAAATTTAACCGTGATATCGGCATTGTTGCCAGATTTCCCAGTTTTGCCCTACAAGTAGTCTTTTTACTATCGCTAATAGAATGCCCCATTTATTTTCATAGCAATAAATTGGACATGTCAAATTTGATAATATTCCAAATTTTCAGAATTCTATCTCCCCTAGTTGCTGAAATATGCCAACACCGCATTTTCAGTGAACGATATCGCAACGCTTGAATATCTTTAAAAATCCGCTTAAGCTCGTCCACTAAATTCGGTATCTGGGGATTTATAGGCAAGCGAAATTCAACTGTCATATCGGCATTGTTGCCAAGTTTCCCAGTTTCGAGCTACACATAGTCTTGCTCGTGGCTTATAGTTTTTTTTTCCTTCAATAATACGAGTTACTTGTTCATGAGGTATTCATATTTCCGGGAGTTCCCGATAAGTTTGCGGCTCCTCCTGAAACAGGTAGGTAACTATCCCAGAATGATTATCTCTATAGTAGTAGTATTTAACAGTACAAGCAGCATATTGGAAATTTGGAATCTCATCAAAATTTTAACTAATTCATTGCAATAAAAATAAATGTATTCAAGATAACAAAAAGACTACGTGTAGCGCGAAACTGGGAAACTTGGCAACAATGCCGATATCACAGTTGAATTTCGCTTGCCTATAAATTCCCAGATAGGTACCGAATTTAGTGGACGAGCTCAAGCAGGTTTTAAAAATATTCAAGCGTTGCGATACCGTTCACTGAAAATGCGGTGTTTGCATGTTTCAGCAACTAGTAGAGATAGAATACTGAAAATTTGGAATCTTATTAATTTTGGCACGTCCAATATATTGCAATAAAAATAAATGGGGCATTCTATTCAAGATAACAAAAAGACTACGTGTAGCGCAAAACTGTAAAGTCTGGCAACAATGCCGATATCTCGGTTGAATTTTGCTTGCCCAAAAACCCCCAGATACCAAATTTCGTGAACGTGCTTGAGCGGCATTTGAAGATATTCGAGCGTTGCTATACTTTTCACTGAAAATACGGTGTTGTCATATTTCAGTAACTAGTAGAGATAGAATTCTGAAAGTTTGGAATTTTATCAAATTTGGCACGCCCAATTCATTGCGATAATAATAAATGGGGCATTCAGTTTAAGATAACAAAAAGACTACGTGTAACGCAAAACTGGGAAATCTGGCAACATTGCCAATAGCACTGTTGAATTCCGCATGCTTGAAAACTGTCAGATTCCGAATTGTGTGAACGCAGCCTAAGCATTTTTGAAGATATTTAAGTGTTGCAGTACTTTTTACTAACCCTGTATATGCATAGAAATTTTCAATAATACACATTGCTCGCCGCAAGGTGAAGTTTTAGATGCACGATTTTGATAATTCTATATTCCTAACTTTTTAACAAAAAAACCTTGAACTTTTTCGAAATTTCTGAACTGTCATTAGAAGCGCTCATGTTTCAAGTATAAGTGTGCAAAAAATCAGAATTTTAGATTGTATGCTCAAATTAATACAGCGGGTAATGTTCAGAAAAACATAGCTTTTCAAATTCGAGCTCAGTCACGTTTAAGGGCCGATTTCAAAGTTCAGTCATATTAAAAAAAGTTGTACATTCCCATGTCCTATGCCCCAAAGTGTCCTCTACAAGATGATATAGGTTTCATCTGGTTATACCTCGGAATCACCCACCCTCAGAAAACAGCGAGTTAGAGCAGTGATTTTATTCCACTAAAGTTCACGCCAGTAAAGTTCAGACCTCAAATATTTTAATAGGTTCTAACTCAGCCTCGAACTCAGCAAACTAAACAGATTTTTCATCAAGCAACAAGTCATAGAAATATACCTACAAAAAACTGTTTGCTACCATTCTTTTATCTTTTTTTTTTCGGTTTTAGGTAGAAATCAATATTACTCGCACTGATAAAGCTGAACCATATTATTTTTACGGCATTAGGATTTTGACGTAGAGAAGTATTTACCTACCTATATACATAGATATCCTGTAATCAAGGCTGACCACTAGATCTAATTCTCTTTTTTCCAAGATGAAATTTTCTGGAGTGGAGTGAATAAAATATCTTAGTAGATAATATTGAATTCAATTATTTTGAATTTGAAATTACCTTTTAGCATGTTTCTGCATTAATTTATCTCTGTTTTATTCCAGGGTGACACATGTTGTTGGATTTGTGACAAATGCGAGGAATACGAATACGTCTCAGATGAGTTTACTTGCATGGATTGTGGTCCCGGCTACTGGCCATACCCGGACAAAACCGCTTGTTACCCATTGGAATTGCAATACATGCGATGGGATTCACTTTATGCGATCGTCCCAACGGCATTTTCCTGTTTGGGAATTGTCGGAACATTTGCTGTTATTGGTACGTGGCATTTTGTATGAACTCGCCTCTTTTATATCTTCTAAAGTAGTAGCAATTTAATTTTATCTACTTACATCTAAGCAGCATATAGAAATATGAAAGTTGAAATTAAAATTGAAATACTTATTAACTGAGGGAAATTCTTTTGTCGTTTTTCAAATGAAAAACGTTTTCGAAAGGAAATACAAATTAAATTTGTAATCCGTATTTTTAAAGTAAATAAGAACTGAACTTTCGAGTAAGTTTCGAAAGAATTTTCTTAAACTCGATAAAGTGGAATGTAAAGAATCAAAACGGGAATTCGTTTTAACGTCAAATAATGCTGTTTGCTTACGAGAATATTTTTAGATCATTAAGAATTACTTAGATATCTTAATATTGACCCTAAAATTTTATGTAAGCCATTAAAAACTCTGTTGAATTGTTTTACATATTGTATTATTATAACAGAGCAGTACATTGAATATATATAAATCCATCGTTCACATAATCTAGTAATCAGTCCTAGCAACAGTAGCAACAACAAAAAGCCAACAACATTGTTTTTCCAACAATTCCAACTTTGCAAGACTGTCTTCAGAAATCGATTAGGAAAACTCCAGAATCTGCACAACGACAAGACCAACAAAATCTCAGCAAGAATTCAAAATGGCGATTATATAGAATAACACAAAATGAGACGGCGATTTATGAAAAGCAAAGTTCATGGTCCCTTCTGCATGATGAAAGTTGGTGAACAAACCGCCAACAACGTCTTTGATATTTAGGTATGCTAAAAGTGGAAGAAAGTTACAGAATTATTTAAGACAAAGACTAATTCCTGATTCCATGCGAAACTTTCGAAATTTCATCAACCAACCGATTTAATTGTATTCAGCAACTTAATGGTGAAATATTATAAATATGGATTATTGAGAACTTTGAGATGCCTCCATAGTTACCATTTAAAAAAAATGAGACAAGGCTCAATGTGGCAACTACAGAGGAATATCTTCACTTTCTGTTGCGGGAAAGATACTTGCCAGGATATTATCAAACCGTTTTATCCCAACTGCCGAAAAGAACCAGCAGAGACACAGTGTAGCTTTAGACACAACCGAGATAAAGCTGACAAGATTTTCAGTGCAAGACAAATGCAAGAGAAATCCAGGGAGCAAAATCGCCCTCTATACATGGCCTTCATAGATTTAGTCAAAGCATTTGATTCGGTCAACAGAGAAGCTCTTTGGAAGATATTTTTGGAGGTTGGGAGTCCGCGATAGTATATCCAGATACTCCGCGTGCTGCATGATAATATGAATGCAAATGTCCTAAGCAACGATGGACAAGGAGAGTCTTTTCAAATAACTACAGGCGTGTTATTGCATCCACTTTATTTTCTCTAATTATAAGAACCAAACTTCACATTGTCGAGGATCACCTGCCCTCCAAATCCTGTACAGATTTGATGGCGGCTTATTTAACCTGAATAGATTACGAGCCAAGACGAAAAAATCGACGACATCGTTAATTGAATTTCAATATCCGGATGATAACATAATGATGGCCAATACAGAGGAAGATCTTCGGGCAATTATCAATGCATTCAACCAGGCATACAAGGGAATCAGCCTAGAGGTCACCTTTAATAAGACAAAGATTCTGCACCAACCTGCACCGTATACTAATCCCCAAGTTCCTAATATAACTATATAAATGACCATTCTTTGCAGAACGTAGAACACTACCCATACCTTGGGAGCCATCTGTCAGCGTATGCAACTATTGTCGCTGAAATCTAACATCGCTTGAGGTGTGCTAGCGCGGCGTTCGGAGATTGTTCAACAATCACAGCATCAGCGCTGAGACCAAACTTCGCGTCTGCAATGCAGTTGTAATACCAACACTTACATATGGCCGCGAAATATGGCCATCTACAGAAGAAACATAAAAAGCGTAGAAAAAAAAACCTCAGCGATGCCTAAGAAGGATCCTACTGATTAAATGGCAAGACCGATGAAGGAACATTACCTACTGTTTTAGAGGAGGCCAATATAACTAGCATGGAAGCCCTCATTATTAAGCACCCACTTCGCTGGACAGGTCACCTCGTCCGCATGTCCGAAGCACGTCTTCCACGACAGATTCTCTACAGTCCACTGAAAGGGGGAAAATGAAATCAACAAAAACGCTACAAAGATGTTCTAAAGGAAAATATGACGAAGTGCCGCATCGATACCAGCATCTGTAAGACGACGGCCAATGATATGCCCTCATGGCGTCAAGTAGTCCACGACGGACCATAAACTATTGAAGAACAGCAACACAGACACGAGACCGGAAAGGAGAACCGCAGGAACGGGCGAGAGAACAGAAGAAGAGACAATGCTGCCAGAAGCTGTGGAAATTGGTTTATATAGCCATCAAAAAACGCACAATCGACGACATTGAATGGGATAGAAGATAGTCATAGTCGGTATCGTACTGTTGGCTAATAAGAGATCATCGCCGCCTGTTTCGCTTTCGTCAAAAATATGGCGTTAACATTTTTTGATAAAGCCGCCCTTGATACAGCATCTTTTAGAGTGATGAGGCATCTATTGTTTGCCCAACGGTTCTGAGTCTACGGAAGGAATTCGGACGTAAATGTGCGATGTTGTCACGTTTAATTATAAAAAAGCGAAAATACTAGGCATGAAGTATAGTTCATTTGAAAATCCATTTTTTAATAACAAAATGTAGATAACATAAAACGCCAAATATTTCAACGTGGTTGATAGATCTATGCTTATTTTAATAACCGATTTCTTCAAATTTGTCTATTGTAAAAAATAAACATTTCCTAAATGCCTGGATGAACCTGATTGGAGGAGTTTTTGGCAGGATTGCCGTTGCCACGGGGAACCAAGCAATTGTCAGTGGGCTAACGTCACCTTACGTCTCGCTATTGGCCAGGGCTCTTGTCATTTTATCCTCCCATCTTGGAATATCGATTTATATTGAAATATCCAGTGGCGGCGGTTTGGTCATTGTCGATTTTTGTGTACGAGTTGCAATACGATAACACTTCCAGAAATCAGCCATTTTTTTTTACAACTGCATTCCCCTTACCGTTGCCCCGTAGACACAGATTCGCTGGGCAGACATTACTTCACCATTTCCGAAATAATCATAGAATCTTTCTCTAAATTTTCTCTATTTCGTAATGACTTTCAGTACTATTCCTAGGAGACCTCCAAACTTTCCCGGTACTTCGCCGAACTTTAGATGTTAAGAACGGTAAATTAAATTCAGTTATTGAAAAAATCATTGAGCTTTTACATCGCTTGATTTGATTGTTTGATACCCTTTCCATTTGAACTTTCTGCTACTCCCCCTAATTTCCAAAAACCCCCTTGACACTTTGCTCGGTCCTTGGATGGTGGTACAAAATTCTCAAGTGCTCGGTTTTAAGGTTGGTTACCACGAAACAACACGTTCTTTCCCGAGTGAATTTAGGCCCTCACTGATTATTAAATTTGCAATCAAACGCAAATAAAATAACGAAGTGATGTAATTTTTTCTACGGTCCAAAAATTAAATCCTAACTCTCGACTTTTTTGATTTTTTCGCCAACTCTGCCAACGTACCCGTAAATCAAATTTCGTTTTTTAGCAAAAATTCATCAGCGACATCCCCGTCTCATGCCGATATTTAATCTCCGACCACAAATATTCAAATGAACCTCGCATTCAATAAGATGAATGGCCTCAAAATCGAACGTCCTTTGTGTTGGACATATCAAGGTGTATTATGTCCTCCAATATTGCATTTAATATTAAACATGCACCCTATAATTGACACCAGTTATGACATATGGGTATGCAATGATTCATTTCGTATTGTTCGTATACAACTGTATCTGCTATTTGTGTTTATTCAGCTAATTCGAGTATGTATCAATTAAAGTTGCTCGAGAATTAGGATGGAGGTTAATTTATTGGAACCTAACGTTGAAACAAATAGCAGATGCTCTATGGGGTCCAACCAATTTTTGATTATTTAGAATTTTTGCAATCCAAATTAGGTGCAAACTTGATTTTTAGATTGTCTCAACATAAAATTAGTTATTTAATGTGGCTTCTGGAAGATCCTTCGGTATGAGGGACAACGGAAGGACTATCTACAGCCAAGGTTATCTTTATTCTTAGTCTTGTTTTCTTAAAAACTATAACCAATTCTTTCAAAAAGTGATCAGCTCCAAGCTAGTGCTTTGGAGGCAAACTTTGTATATACATATCTTGCATATTTTAGATAGGGATGTAAAGAGTATAATAAAATAAAATAAAAATCAGGTGGAATCTTACAATGCCCATCAGGAATTTCCATATGTTCTTGTATTTGTGGATGCCACATTTTTGGAATGTGCATCGAAGGATGTATTTCTCTTCGTAATATTTTCTTCCAATTTTAACACATGTATATTTTTTCAGGTCTATTCATTAAGCATAACGATACGCCCCTTGTCAGAGCATCTGGAAGGGAACTTAGCTACATGTTACTGTTCGGTATCCTCCTCTGTTACCTCAACACGTTTGCCCTTCTGGCGAAGCCCTCAACCACAGTCTGCATTACCCAAAGGTTTGGTGTCGGAGTGGGATTCTCGATAATTTATGGTGCACTACTCACAAAAACTAATCGGATATCACGGATTTTCGATTCGGCATCGAAATCTGCCAAAAGACCAAGCTACATCAGTCCGAAATCGCAGGTTTGCATCACGTGCTCTCTCATTGCGGTCCAAGTTATTCTGACTTTAGTTTGGATGATTATCGAACCTCCTGGGACTAGATATTATTATCCTACAAGAAAAACGGTGAGTTCAAATTTTTAACTTGTAATTTATGTTAGAGAGAGACCCAGATTATATTTTATAAAATTCTGGCTTATTCAAAAATCTGGCGGCGCCCAAATCCACGCCGCTCCACTTTCCGAATGTGTTACCTAATTAGTGGAACCTAATCTGAGCTAGGATAAACATTTGGTATGCACTTGACTTTTGCTGGCTTAAAAACAATAAGAAAAACTGTGAAGTGCTTTAGGATTACCTAACAAAATATTTGATTTTCAATTAACATAACATAACAGTGCACAAACATAAATAAGTATAGGTACTTTTAGGCTATTCCTAAATTGCATATATTTTCACAAGCATAAATGTAATTTTACAATCAACAATATTATGCCTTTGTGCAAATTTAGCGCATACTAATAATATTTGTATTGTAACAATAATGCAATATTTTGATACAACAATAACAATTATACCGCGGTTTCTAATTTGCAAACCAATCATTGAAATGTATAGTTCAACCTATCAAAGGTTGGAAACCAATTCTGCCAATTGCATTTATTCGAATAGTTTTGTGATACAGTTAAATTATATTCTAATTGCCCAACGACCAATCGCTTTCAATTGAAAATGAGTATATTACCAGATACTTTTTTCTTACATATCACCTCTCTTCACCATCCATATCTGAACAAACGTTCCTCATATTCCTCCATCTTCTACTTATTGTTGCTTATTTACTTCTCATCATTCAGTTATTGGTTGACATTATATCAAGAATCCCTAACATTTGGTTTTCATGCAAAAAAATGAAGCTATGTATGTCAGTCGTTATTGTTAAACGTAGAGAAATATAATGTATAGAAGAAAAGACGATGAGAGCCAAAAAGAATAATTCATAGAGGCACAATAATATAGACTCCTCTTTTTCCAATCGTTTAATGCACAAATAACATTTCCATTAGCAAACGACCTCTAATACTAATTTTCCATAAATTTAGTGAAAGCCACTACATACTTGATTTAATTAATTAGCAACAATTAGATAATACAGTGTTCTGTTACCACTATGATGTAGCTTTAGAGTGGATTAGTATAACAGCTCTGATATTTCGATTGTTTCAGGTTATTCTGAAATGCAAAATACAAGACATGTCCTTCCTTTTCTCTCAGCTGTACAATATGCTGCTTATTACTATTTGCACAGTGTACGCTGTAAAGACCAGGAAAATTCCCGAGAACTTTAACGAATCCAAATTCATTGGGTTTACGATGTACACAACCTGCGTCATCTGGCTCGCTTTTATCCCCATCTATTTTGGAACTGGAAACGCTTATGAGGTAAGTAATTTTTGAATAATATTGTTTTGATACTACAACAAGTGTTTGTAAGCATATACTCAGAATATGCCTGTGAACAATATTTTCGTGTAGTTGTTATACTAAATATACTACATACAAGAAAGTGATCCTAAGAAATAGGTCCTCCCACACATACAAATTTTAAAAATAAAATCGAAGGTAATTGAAAAAAGGACTTGTCTGAATGATGACTTTCCGGGGAGATATTTTCATTCAGAATACTATTTTCTGTTCTGGAGGGGGTTCAGTGCCTTTCGGCCAATCAAGAGTTACCACATAATTTAACAAAAGACCTTACTCGCGAATGAAATATCTTATCATTCAAATTGAAAGAAACTTCAAGATAATTAGAATTCACGTTCACACTAGAGATGTTTGTTTTTTGAAAGTTTTACGAAGGCTGCGTCAACATTAGAACAATGTGAATCGATAAATTACCCTCAGGCCAGAATTACCAATAAAAAAGTTTCACACAGCTCCTAAGAGAAATTACTATGCGTTCAAGCCGTATTGCGTGCGTTTACCAACAGATTCGTATTTTGAAAAAACACTTTTGAAAATAAAAATAGTAAAATTTATCAAATCAACACTTTTTTCCTCAAAAGGGTTGATTTTACTGAAAAAATGCGAGCTGATTGACATCGTTACCCGCAGTTTTTCTCATTTTATATTTTTGTCATTTTTTTACACTCAGTAAATAATCTCGAGTTTACACGTGAATCCTTAGTGGCCAGCTAGGCGAAGAGGAAGGGAAGCATAGCACGAACATCGAAAATATCTCTTAAGCGAGTCGTCTCATAGTTTGGAGAATCAGTTACCGTACCTACTGCCATTTCCGCATCAAAACAAGAACAGAGCGCTGGATATAAAAAGGGAGACTATCACCCAGTCAACATTGGAGACGAATACTGTGCAAGGTACTATGTGATAAGAAACTTAGGCTTTGGTACTTATTCTACTATTTGGCTACGTTGGGATAAGGAAGACGAACATATTGTGGCCCTAAAAATTTTGAGATCAACTTCACCTTATTCTGAAATTGCTTTGGAAGAAATCAAATTTCCCAGAATCGTGGATACAGCTGAGCCTCAAGACCCTAGAAGAAACCGAACACCACGACTTTTAAATGATTTCCGAATTAGTGGGGTTAATGGAAAACATATTTGCCTGATCTTTCAAATCACTGGCTATAACTTAAAACTATTATTACAAAACAATGGCCAAGGCATCCGATTAGCCAATATCCGCACAATAATGAAGCAAGTCTTAGAAGGACTGAAATATCTACATTCCAAATGCAAAATTATTCATGGGGACGTAAAACCAGAAAATATTCTCATATGTGTTACAGAAGATTATAATATTAAACTCGCGTGTGAAGTTGCTGAAATGCACCGATCCGAAATTAAATTACCCACTTCTATTGTTGCCAACGCACCACTAGGCACAATGAAATCATCCAAGCAAATAAAGGCGGATTGAAGGCGAATATCATCTTTCAATAGGCAAATAAAAATTATTATGGATACCATCGAAGAGAAAAAAAAAGTTGTTGAATCTGAATCAGTGTAAATACTTCTAAGTCTCCTTCCCCATCCTCAAGCAGAAGTAAAAAGTCGGAATTCAATCCAGACTTTGGAAAAAGCGAATTTGAACTTCAAATTGCTGACCTCGGGCTCGCTTTCAGGATTGGAGGACCGCTTTATCCAATCATCCAATCAAGACCCTATAGGTCTTTAGAGGTTTTACTTGGAGCCGAGTATAATGCTGCAGCAGACATTTGGAGTACCGCCTGCATGGCGTTTGAACTAGCCACAGGATTATTTAAACTAGATTCTGCCACTACTTACCCAGACAAAAACCATTTAGCCAAAATTATAGAGCTGGGAAGCATTCCAAAAGAAATTGTCCAAAGTGGCACGAAGTCCCAACTATTGTTCAACGAGTAAAACAAGCTTCGTCATATCGCACAATTACTTCCGTCAGGTCTGGGAGATATATTGCGGAAAAAATATGATTGGTCCTTAGGGAATGCCCAAGAGTTTGCTGCTTTCCTTTCACCAATGTTGCAGTTTGACGTGGACAAAAGAGCTACCGCATCAGAATGTTTGAAGCACCCATGGCTGAACTTCAATAAGCCCCTGTCGATAATTGTTTGAAGATATAATTCATTCTGCCTTTCAAAATTATTGTTGATGAAAAAAGGAAAATCCATACTTCGATATTTCATGTCTTGAATATTGAAAATAGGGCCCTTTTATTAAATGTACTATTTTCTAAATGCATTACTTTGGCAATTCAAAATTAAATTTTTGTATAATGTAATGTGCGAAATAAATATACATACCTATTTCTTTTAGTCTTCTTCTTTTTTTCAGTCCCTATTCATCCACTATCTATCTATCTATCTATCTATCTATCTATCTATCTATCCCATCTGGATAATTTGTTTGTCAGTTCAGGAGTCGAGGCAAAAATTCAATAAATTCATGTACATTTTGGAGCAGGCCTGCCTGCACTTATTTTCTATATAGGGTCAGATCAGACCAAGGAAATCACATTTCGTGGTTCAGACTAATGTTTTTGAGAGATCTAAGTAGACAATACGGCCATGTGAGTACTCAACATTATCAAAACTATAAAGCCGTTTATAAAAATACAATCAAACAAGCCAAAGTGCAGTCTAATGAAAATCTTATTAATACCTCTAACAATCCAACCAGGACCATCTGGCAGAATATAAATGCAAACAGAGGTGAAACAAAAAAATTATCAGATGTTACCAACTTGTCACCGGATTATTTCAATGACTTTATCTCAAGCATTGCTAAGAATGTAGTTGGAGGTATTCTAAATGTGGGTAATCCGCCAGATGCATATTTGTCTTCCGTTGTTCCACTTCTGTGGAACATATCACGAAGTGCCGGAGGTGATGAAAATAGCAGGGATATTTTTGGTCTTCATATGAAAATGATAAAAACTATCAAGAACGTTATTTTAATACCTTTAACAAAGCTTATAATGGACCCCGCACAAAACTTATGGAAAATTGGTTCCGGTCAAATCCAATAAAATTTTAGTATGATATAGTTTATGACTTCTTGATCAAATTTCAACATTGCCACAAAAAAATCGTTCAAGCCGTTTTCGAGTTATAGCTTTTCCAAGATGGCTGAACAAGGTCAAATTAAAGACTGAGTAAAAACATTTCATTAATATTTTTTGATAATCAATTAATGGGTCAATTCTGGGCACATCTGTAAGCAAATCTATAAGTTTCTATAAGCCTGTAGCTGCCTATAGACAATTTGCAGTTCTGCACTTCCTGTAGATTACAGAATATCTTAAAGGATCCTAAATATTTCCGATCGGGTGTTTGGCAAACGATATGCGTTTTGCAGTGTCTATAGGCTTATAGAAATGTATAGATTTGCTTACAGATGTGCACAGAATTGACCCGTAAGTCTCAACAAAATAGTTTATAAATATTTTAATCAAAATAAATTTTAAGAGTCGCTACTTAATGCTGTGAAAAAAACTTTAAAAAAATCCTCACTCTTCCAGAACGAAATGACTTCAGCATTTTGCCATCTCCGGACACCCTGTAGAAAATCTTCGTTTTCTTTTTTCATTAACTTTACTGACAATTTGATATTCGCATAGGCCAATCCTGTCTTCAATCTGATTCAGTGCTCTCGGTTCTCCACTTTTCATTTCCGATTCTCCTGGAGTCTAGAACTATACCTACAGCTCTGTATAGAAATCTTGAACCACATCAAAATTTTTCTCATGTTCCTTAATTTTCTGGCCTGTGTTCCCTTTTTAGTTTTATTGAGTCTCTAGAATGTGAACCTTGAATTATTCTTCACTTTGATCATGCTCTCGTCCGAGATGTTGTCGTTAATTCCTCCATTTACTGATGTTCCTTCAATCATTTCCCAATTTTGTTAATTGTTGAAGAACCTTTTAAATGTTTTGAGAAATATTCACACTTTTTCAACAGGCCTGTGACAATTTCAATCGAACGTTCAACCGTTCCGTTCGATCTTGGATACCCGGGACTCGACTTAGAAAGGTGAATGTCATACTTTTTAGCAAATGCACCGAATTGAAAAGAGTTGTAGTAGGGTGGGCCGTTCTCGGAAAAAAAATCTTGTGGTGAATCATGTAGGTATGGCAAAAATGTTTTTCAAAACACATACAACAGCACTGCACGTCTTATTTGGGAGTCTGTTGACAATTACAAATTTACTGAAATAGTCAATTATGACTATTATATCTTGGGGTCCTAACTGTGCCATGGCAGGTCTGGAAGTTCATGTGGCCTCAGAGGTTCACGAGAATTGAACTTGGCGTAAGATTGGCAAATGTCACAATTTAAAACCATATTCTCAACATCAGTCGACCATCCGGGATAGTAAATAGCTTCTTGTGCTAGCTTTTTACACGACACTGCCCCTTGGTGGTATTTATGAAATAACGATAAAAACTCGGCTTTTAGACTTTCAGGAAGAATTAAACGATTTTTATAAAATAATATATTGTAGTTAATAAATATAGATATCATGCCATGTCCCAACATTTTTTCACTTCTGTTGACACTTCGCTCTTATGTTCAGGCCATCCATTCATTATGTAATCTTGGATCTTCAACACGTATATCATCATTTTGAGTAGCGGAAACAATTTTTTGTCCAGTTTCAGGCCTAACAGCGATGAATGAGTGAACTTTAAAGTTTGTGTCCAAATAGTCGGTGTTGATATGCTCCCTGACAGGATCTTTACTCAGAATGTCTGGAACTTTGAGTCGTATAGCAAGCCTCTGTATTTCTGTATACGTGGAGACATTTCGTCTAGAGGTTTTTTAAGAGGTCCAATTAGCGGTCGATGATCACTGGCGTGAACTTGGCAGCCAAAAGTTAGCAGCCTGACTCGACCCGAACGTGGCGTCGTTTATGTTTTATTTTTATGTATTATACATATATTTTCTATAAATATGATAAAATTGATCCACTTATTGTAGGTAAACAAGAAAATACTGCAAATGGATCCAAAACATGTTCTTGAAGGTAAACAAAGAATTAAAATAATTGAAATATCAATTTTTCACAAACTTAGGAACGGGACTTTCTACATTTTCTTCTCAACTAGGTCAAGTGAAACTGCTCTAGACACGATGGACTTATTTTGAGGCATCTTACTTGACTTGCAAATTGGTCCAAGGGTGGTTTCGGAAGGTAAGACAAAAAATGTAATAAGCCGAAATATCAGTTTTTCACAGAATTACGTGTCTTCCGGCATTTTATTCACAACCGGCTGTTTCGAAACTTGGTTCCCACACACCACGGGCAAATTTTAGAGCACCTTACTCGAATTACAAATGGGTCCAAGGGTGATTTTAGGGGGAAAAACCAAAAATTTGAAAAATTGTGAATATCAATTTTCTTCACAACCAAATGTATTGGAATCTGTGCCTAGGCACCATGGGCACATTTGAGGGTACCTTACTTGCTTTGCAAATGGGTCCAAGGATGGTTTTTAGGGGTAAAACAAGAAAATTGAAAATATCAATTTTTCACAGAACTATGTGTCTTGCGACATTTTCTTCACAACCAAATGTATTGCAAACTGTGCCTAGGCACTATGGCCACATTTAAGCGTACCTCACTTGACTTGCAAATGAGTCCAAGGGTGGTTTTGGGTGTTAAACAAAATATTTGGAAAATCAGAAATATCAACTTTTCACAGAATTACGTGTCTTGCGACATTTTCTTCACAACCAGATGTATTGGAAACTGTGCCTAGGCACCATGGGCACATTTGAGGGCACCTTACTTGACTTGCAAATGGATCCAAGGGTGGTTTTTGGGGGTAAAACAAAAAAATTGAGAAACTAGAAATATCAATTTTTAATACATTTGGTTGTGAAGAAAATGTCGCAAGACACATAATTCTGAGAAAAATTGATAATAACAGTTATTCAATTTTTCTGTTTTAACCTTGGAAACCACCCTTGGACCCAATTGCAAGTCAAGTTAAGTGCCCTAAAATGTTCCTATATGGTGCTTGGCAACAGATTCCAATACATTTGGAGTGCGTTCGAAATCGCGCTAGTCGTGACACGCAGTGCACACCAGACGTGAATTATTCATGGCTGGTGTGCACTCGGTGTGACGCCCAGGAGGGTGATTTCGAACGCACTCTTGGTTTTGAAGAAAATGTCGCAAGACATGTAATTTTGTGAAAAATTGATATTTGGAGTTTTTCATTTTTTTTTGTATTACCCCAAAAAACCACCTTTGGACCCAATTGCAAGTCAAGTAAGGTGCCCTCAAATGTGCCCATGGTGCAAGGCAAGAGAGCACGAACTCGGGGTGCACCTATAAGATATTCAACACGTTCTGGCAGATAGTTACACTCGCCATTTCGTTCTGCCAATTGGCACATACACTTGAGATAGATGGCTCAACAACATACTAAAAAATGAAGCTTAACTAAACAATAAAACGTTCATTCCTTCCACGACAAGTTGGGGGTGGTCTGCCACCGTCTTGCACGGGGCCAATCGTTCTGCCAATGATATACCGGTGATTGTGGGCTATAAGAGGACAACTGTAAATAATTTCAGTCTCCTAATTAAATAGTAAAAAGATGCAATGTTTTATACATATTGGGGGCGTTCTGCCACCCCCTTACCCGGGGAATCCGGGTAATTCTCACGGATGACACTCATTTAGGGTCTCAACAACATTCTCACAAAAAATAGGCCTTAACTAAATCATCACGAAAAAATATCACTGGCTCTCCTACTATCAGTATCATAAAAAGAAAATTGATCTGGTGCTTTTAATTGGCGATATCCGCAAACAACCTTGACTAGGTTCGAAAATCTATAATGGCACTTCTACCGCTCTCACCATGTAATAAACCAGTGGCGACGCGTGACCAGCAGTCGGGGAGGGGGGTAAATGTTACCGGGGGGAAATTTTCTGCAAATTTCAAGGTCATTAACTTTTCCAGAACAATTATTTCCTTTGTGAGAAAAATAAAACAAAACAAAAATGTATTTTCTTTTGGGCATCCTGATTTTTCTCTTGATAATTCGATCCCGGAGAGGGGGGTAATTATCCCCATTACCCCTCCCCTACGCGACGCCACTGTAATAAACACACACACACTATAGAGATTAAATACGTAGTTTATAACCATTAATCACTAATTAATTACATTCGTGAATTGTGAAGGAGTCACATATATGTTCATAAGTTATGACCGATACGATAAGAACTAAACTGCGGTGTTGTCAAATATTAGTACACAGAAGTACTAACAATAAGTATACATTTATAAAGCCAGGTGCATACAGAATATATGACACATTCGAGCCGTATTTCGTGATGATGTGATTTACATAGAAATTTCGGAAACTATTCGTATTTTCAAGATATTTTTGAAAATTAAAAGTGTAGGAATAATAAAAATAGTGAAATTCATTGTGATAAGACGTTCTCTTCCTCGTTGGGGTTGATGTTATAGAAAAATCGCGAGTTGATAAGGAACACTCCTTTTTATTTTTCTGATGACGAAGTTTTGATGAATATAATTTTGTGACATTTTTACAGTGACTGAGTAATCTTGAGTTTGCACGTGAATTGTTGATTTGTGGCTACCTAGGCGAAGAGAAATGGAAGCTAAGGACGAAAATCTCTTAGGCGAATCGTCTTATAGTTTGGAGAAGGAGTTACCGTACTCCCATTTCCTCGATCAAACATCAGAACAAGAAAAGAGCGCTCATTATAAAAAGGGAGGTTATCACCCCGTCAAAATTGGAGATGAATATTGTGAAAGGTACTATGTGATAAGAAAATTAGGCTTTGGTACTTATTCTACTGTTTGGCTTTGTTGGGATAAGAAAGACGAACATTTTGTGGCCCTAAAAATTCAGGAATCAAGTTCAACTTATTCTGGCATTGCTTTTCGAGAAATCAAATTTCTCAGAATCGTGGATGAAGCTGATGCTCAAGACCCGAGACGAAATAGATTAGTTCGCCTTTTAAATGATTTCCAAATTAGTGGTGTTAATGGACAACATATTTGCCTGGTATTCGAAATCACTGGCTATACCTTGTACACACTATTATTACAATACAATGGCAAAGGCATCCCATTAGCCAATGTCCGTACAATAATGAAGCATGTTTTAGAAGGTCTCGAATATCTCCACTGCAAATGCAAACTCATCCATGGGGATGTGAAACCCGAAAATATTCTCATGTGTGTTAGAGAAGATTACAATTTAAAACTTGCATGTGAAGTAGCTGAAATGTACCGGTCCAAAATTAAATTACCCGCTTCCGTTATTGCCAACGCGCCACTAGGCTCAATGAGAACATTCAAGCAAATTAAAGCAGATCGAAGGCGAACATCATCTTTCAGAAGGCAAGTTAAAATTATTATGGACACCATCGAAGAGAAAAAGAAAATCGCTGAATCTGAATCGATTGGGAATACTTCTTACTCTCCTTCCCCATCCTCGAGCAGTGATAGAAAGTTGAAATTCAATCCAGTCTTTGAAGAAAGTGAATTTGAACTTAAAATTGCTGACCTTGGACTAGCTTCCAGGATTGGAGGACGGCTTCATACAATCATCCAATCAAGACCATATAGATCTTTAGAGGTTCTAATTGGCGCCAAGTATAATGCTGCAGCAGATATTTGGAGCACCGCCTGCATGGCGTTTGAACTAGCCACAGGATGCTACCTATTTAAACTAGATTCTAAAATTACTCACCCGGACGTAAACCATTTAGTCAAAATTATAGATTTATTAGGAAGCATTCCAAAAGAAATTGTTCAAAGTGGCTGGAAGTACCAATTTTTATTAAGCAAGCAATACAATCTTCCTCATATCCATGAATTACAACCGTCAGGTCTGGAAGACATATTGCAGAAAAAATATGATTGGTCTCTAGGAGATGCCCAAGAATTTGCTGCTTTCCTTTTACCAATGTTGCAGTATGATGTGGACAAAAGAGCTACCGCATCAGAATGTTTGAAGCACCCATGGTTGAGCCTCAATAAGCCCCTGTAGATTATTGTTCAAAGAGGTAATTCATTTTTCTTTTTTGTGTAATGTAATGTTCGAAACAAATACAGGGTGTTAATGAATAGTGGGATTAAACTTCTAGGATAAATAATACCTACTCATTAAAATAAGAAACATGTTATTAGAAACATGGGTCCGTGAATGCTGAGTTTTCGAGATACAGGGTGTCAAAGTTTGAATAAAAAGTCGTTGTTTAGCCCAAAAATCCCTTCTCCAATTTTTTTTTTCAAATTTGGCAGGTTTGTTTGTGATAAAAAAAGGTATCTTTTGAATGTAATAATATGACTTGTTAATCTGAAAAAAATATCAAAGTCATAAAAAAATAGTGACGTGCCATTTTTTTTCTACTTTTACCAACGTTGCCCTCTGGGGCAGCACTGGGAATAATTACGGTAAATTTAATTGAGTCAAAAGATACCTTTGGTTATTACAAAATTATCTTATTGAGTACTATTTATGCTAGAAGTTTGATCCGACTATTCATTAACACCCTGTATACTTTATCTGGTCTATACTCTTCTTCATCTCAGTCTGTATAAATTCCTCTGTGTGCCTTCTATAATTACTGAATTTTGTTCAATAATTATCATCAGTTCAGGTCTTTTTTGTCTGCAAATGGATTAGGGAGTGGAGCAGAACAAATTACTCATTTCTGAATCTTTTAAAACTGGTTTAGGTAACCAAATTACGGACGATTCGAATTTCAAAAATATCATTAGGTATGGCAAAAAACTGTAAATTAAATATTCTCATAAAATTCTTAAATTTATTCTGGCATCACTTAGAAGCCATAAAGGGAAAAAAGGGGACCAGAGTTTTCGAAACAGGTAAATAAGAAACATTTCATTTATCTACCACTTTGATTGTTGTTGATTATATAATTTGCGATATTTAAAAAAAAAATTGCAACTAAAACTGATGTTCTAAACCAAAACCTACATACAAGAAAGTGATCCTGAGAAGTGCTATAACACAATTCTCCCACAAATACAATACAAAAGTAAATTTGAGAGTAATGGATAAAAGGACCGTGAACGCTACTGATTGCGCTGACGAGCTAGGAAATACACTCATCAAAATAGTCTAGGAAACAAGAAATATATGTCTTTCAATTTTAAGAAAAAACAACTTTTTTTTAAATATAACATGGATATTATTTATTGAACAAATCTTATCAAAGGACCCCTTTTATGGGTATTTGGTTTTCTGTCAAACTCAATGAAATTTTGATATTGTGTTAGACCTTGACTTCCTGATAAAAAGTTCTCATGGGCCCGTACCAATCTTATGATTAGTTTTTGAGATACAGGTTCTTTAATGTCCAAGAAATGTACACATTTTATATGTATTTACATCTACCTGTCACCTAATAATATACCAGGATGGACAGGTATCCTCACGCTCAGGTGATAGGTAGATGTAAATGCATATAAAATGTATACATTTCTTGGACATTAAACTTCCTGTATCTCAAAAACTAGCCATAGGATTGGTTCAGGCCTATGAGAACTTTTTATCAGGAAATCAAGGTCTAACACATATCAAAATTTCATTGAGTTTGACAGAAAACCAAATACCCATAAGAGGTGTGCGGGGTCCTTTACCATACCAGCTTTTTTTGCAAGCTTGTGCGCGCCACACATTCCGTTCCCTAGACAGTGGGCGCGACAGTAAGTGATTCAGGTGACTGATAATCAAAATGAAAATGCCTGAAGGAAGGTGATAAGTAACAGTCAATTCATTGTTTAATATACATACATTCTGATAATAGTTAACAATAGTTATAATTTTTTTTTTAACCTAATCTTTATCAGCTTGATGCTAATACCTATTAACTATTCAATATCTATGAAGGAATGTAGAAATATGTATAAAGATATCACATTTTAACGTTTACTTCTATGGTCGATAGCAGTTGCTTGATTGAGATCAATATTTTCACAATGATCTCATATTTTTTTATCTTTGTTGAGGTTACGTATGTTTTCTAACATAAATTTTGACTGATTAACTTCAGAAAAATTGTAGAAGTTGTTTAGGTTTAATTTGAATTTTGACAGTTGCATCTGGTAGAGTTTATACGAAGTCAATCCGAATAGCATAAAAACTATGTAGGTGGCATCTTATTCTTATGAAATTAAGCATATGCCTGCAACAGCCTAGGAATTCCCAAGAGGGAAGAATTCTAATTCTAATTCTTAGGCTGTTGCACGCATATGTATGCTAAATTTCATAAGAATATACCGCCTACACAGTTTTTATACTCTCCGGATTTACTTCGTATAAACTATACTCTGTAGGTAATTCATTCTCTAACATTTCATGTAGGCTCAACGAAACCGCTGGACAATTGCTTTCGAGCAAAAGGAAACTTTCGCCTTACTTTCAAGCAAAATATGGACCTTTGGTTTCTATATAGCAATTTTTTTCCACAAAAAGTCAATTTGTTAGCCCATGAAAACCGGAGGTCGATATATGGTCTGGTTCCAAAAACATTGAGCTTGAAAGTTAGGCGAAAAAATTTCCTTGCTCGAAAGCAATTATTGTCCAGCAGTTTATATATCATTCTCTTCCATTGGTTTGGTTGACTCATTATTGTTTTTTTTTTCATTCAGCATACCATTTGTTACTAAATCACAATACTTTCCTCCATTCCTATAAAAAAAAGAACTGTCGACTCCAGTCCTACCTAAGGCTAATGTTGCTAACTCAACTCGGTCTTGAAAAATCAAATCAGGCGCATGTGATAGATTTACGCCACTGTTGTAGACTGCGCACAAATGTTTGTAGAATTTACCCCTTGCTCCATCTGGACAGTCACATCGCTCTGCTTGACTTAAGTCAAGCGAGCAATTGAATGTTTACGTCATTGGTTTACAGTGTATAACATATTATTATATTCGTACATTTATTGGCAAACTTCTTGAAATAAATTTGAAGTTTAATTCTTCTTGAATTTGCAGATGAAATAAGTTTTTGTTGGTGAAATTGTTCCATGGAATAAGTAATAAAATCCACTAATGATATAAAATTAAAAGCTTTGCATCTCTTGCTCTTGAAAGACTAGGTATATCTTTAATAAATATGCGTAGACGGACTTCCACTATGTTATTGGTATTGTGACCCCTAGTACGACTGTGACGCCAGTACGAAAGCAGTGGCACCATTTTGAATATCTTTTCCACATTTCTTCAAAATAGTTTGAAAATAATTTATTTTTTGTTGATACTTGACTACTGTCTAGGAGGGAACAGAGTGTTTTTTGCGCCTTACATGCCCTAACTCGTCAGCGCAGCCAGCAGCGTTCACGGTCTAGGAAACGTGAAAATGCTTACCGAGGAGATTTTTATTCAGAAAACCATTTTCTGTTCTAAAAGGGTTTTGGTACCTTTCTGCCAATCAAGATTTAGCACATAATTTATTCACAAATTACAAAAGATTTTACTCGCTCCGCGAATGAAATATCATAGTCAATTGAGGAAAATTTTGAAACAATAATTAGGATTGAGATGTTTTTTTTTAAAGATTGCGTTAATATTAGGACAATGTGAATCGATAAATAGCCCTCAGGCAAAAATTACTAATTTTTTAATTCAACAGCAAGACTAAGATAGCTTCAACTGTCCAGAACTAAAAAAATATGATCCAGATATGGATAAGAGGAACAATAACAAAAATTTCACACAGCTCATGAGAGAAATTTCTATGCAATCAAGCCGTATTTTGTGGGTTTATCAACAGATGGTGCAATTCACATTGTATTCCCAAAAATTAAAGAATACAGGCTTCTTCCAAAAACTTCCACGGCCTTTTCTTTGCAGCAGTTTGAATCCAATTCCTCCCTGCGACTTTCTGAATTTCGCTTCGCAATCGTTTCTGGGGTTCACCTGTCTCTTTGGCTCCGAAATAAGATTCTCTTCATTCACAACCCAACACCTTTCTTCAGAGACGTATGGAAATTTTTGGAACTTAGGAATAAATCCCAGCTTATCAAAAGTCACCCAGAAAAGTATTCTTCTTGAAAATTTATAGGCTTGGTTCTCTTTGTCGAGGTGGGTTTCAAAGCCGGGGTCAATGTATTAAGAGGCTTGCAAAGAGCTGATTATTAAATGGAATTTTCCTTGCGGCTTGCTGCTTGTAGAATGTTTGGTATGATCCCATTTTTTTTTTGTCCTTCCAAGATCCTTTCTTACACAGGGTGTCCTGATACATTTTGCAGGTAAATATACAGTGACCGCCAAAAAGTTTGCAACAAATGGGAAAATATTTTATTATTAAGATATCGAAAAAAATGTTACGTGGTATCGATTCAGCATACCCATCAACAAAAAAAAATCACTGTGACAGATGTTATGTGACCACAGTCATGGTGGCAAATTTGAAAAGTTCGCTTCAAATATGTAAAAAGTGGGGTAGGATGACCAGAAAGCAAAAAATTGTAGAGAGAAAAGTAGTTCAGGATTCGATTTTACGTGTCAACTTTTAATAGAGTACAAGGATTTTAAAAAAATATCAATTTTTTGGCCTGTTTTCTGGTAATTTGAAAAATATGAAAAACTTTCCGCTTGGTTCACATAATTCAAAGTGAAACTCACAAAAAAAAATCCAGTGCGGTAATTCTGCCTAATTGTCCCGCGACAAATTGTAAAAAACTAAAAATTCATATTCAGACCACTCTGATCTTGTTGCAATGACCTACAGAAAACAAAAATTTGGAATAACAAATTTAGAATTACCATGGAACCTTTCTAAATGTTCCAATACCTCTTTTCTAAATTTAATTAAGCCAATATTTTTGCGAAGTGTTTTCGATATTTTTCAAACTACCAGAAAACAGGCCAAAAAATTGATATTTATTAAAAATCCTTGTACCCTTTAAGAAATTGACACATGGACGTAAAATCGGATCCTGAACCACTTTTCTCTCTACAATTTTTCGGTTTCTGGTCGTCTAGCACCACTTTTCACATATTTAAGGCGAACTT